GGGCTGCAGGCTCCCAGCCTAGCTTCTGGAGACCACATCCCTGAACCCCACCATGAAGTGGGGGAAATGAACTTCAGACCCCCAGCTGCTCCGGGAGACAGAGGGCATGAAGGCTGAATGTGCTAAGATTTACCGAAACATCTGGCCTTTCACACCTTCTAAATCAACCACAGGAAAACATTTCCCTCTGTTCACTTTTGGTTGAAGGCACCAATGTATGGGAAGAAGGCAGAAGTATGCACTTAAAATAAAAAGCTGACCTAATGAGAAAACGAGGATGGAAGAAACTGGTTCCAGAATGACGATGTAACCCACATAACACTCACACCAGTGCTTCAAACACGCAGCCACGCCAGGGAGCCAGGACGAGGAGGGAGGGGAGGCTCAGCAGTGGATGGACGCTTTTGGCCTTCCAAGCAAGACGAAGACCCCCAGTCACCACCTATGGGCATGAAGCCTGCAGCTGCCTTCCTGAAACGCCCCTCTCCTCAAGTACACCCTTAAGGGAGCACGAAGAACGCAGACTGCAAACCCAATCTGTGTCTGACTTGTTCTACATCTTCCGGTCTGTCCATTCACCCTATGATGCATTTACGGCCATGCTTGGAGTCTGAGCCCCAACAAGTTTCTTATGTGTCAGGGAGAGAACGGAGAAGGTGGATTTTAAAGTATTGCTGGGTCTGATGGAGGGTTTCTTCCTTCCTTCCACCATGCATAACCCTAGCAGGATGGCAAGAGGGAAGGGCCACTACGTGGAGAATTTGAGTGTGTGTTTCCAGTCAAGGGTGCCATACTCTACATCCTTCTTTATGCCAAGGACAGCTGAGTTGGCATCTCGCCCTCTGCCTAACTGGCCCAAGACAGCTCACATGGGGTCCAGACCCAACTCCAAGGTAGACAATCTTCTTTGTGCATCATTTAAAATTAATATGAAACCTTCGGGCTGGGCCCAATCAAAGCAGCCTCAGTGGGGAACTGTTTGGGTAGTGGATTCTGCTGAGGTCTGACTTTGTCTGCACAGGTCGGTGTACTTCCACTCCAATGACTCTCAGGTGAAGAGAAACATCAAAGTGAAAACCAGATCCTAATAGCTGGCAGGTGTGCACCAGTCTCCACTTACCCTTTCTGCACCAATCCCCCCACAAGCAGGAAAAACTATAAATGTCACCGAGCTCACCAGGGACACGGCACAGCGGGGAAGCTCAGGTGAGCCCAGAAGAGCTTGTATGAACCACGGACGCAGGATCTCTGCTGGCAGGGAGGAGAGAGCAGAGGCAGGCGGCTGTCAGTGCCTGACACTCCCCTACGTAAGACAAGCAAGGGCACCCCACATCTCTGGGGATGGAAGAAGTCAGTGAGGAGGGCCTGGGTGCAGGTCCTCTACAAGGAGCGATTTACTCGGGAAAGCAGAAGAGTGTGGAATTCCTGTTCTGGAGCTCAAGCGCTAATGGGAGGCAAGTACCTTTTCCACAACACGCTTCCACTCCGGCTCCGATGCCTCCTGATGGACAGATACCAAGAGCCCAGCCTCTAAGCGGGACTGGGGTCACTGGCCTTCCCGCTGTGTCCACCAAGCACAGTGCCCCGCAATGGCAGGAGTGATGATACGGGCATACGACCACTAGGGGCTGGACCGCAGTCCACTATTTAAGACACACACGAAAAAGCTCCTCAGGGCACTCAATCATGAGGGCTTCACAAGAGTGACATGGGAAGGAAAGGAAAAGCTGCCACTGGAAGCCTGGGGCTCTCCAGCACCAGCCACACTACGTCCACCAGGCAGGGCGGAAGGATGCGCTGGAACATCCATCTCGACTTAAACACTCCTTTTACACAGTAATCAAAACTAGACAGTTCCAGGCAATGGTGATAACATCAGCTTTTTTGCTTTCTGTGTTTTTTTGGTTTGGGGTTAGTTTTTGTCTGTTATGCGGGGGGAAGATTTAGCCCAATCCTCTCCTGTGTCCAGATTAGAAATTATCTCACATTTCTAGACAGCTCAGTCCTAACACAGCAACGCACGTTCCAGCCTTTGGGACACCAAGAGAAGTGACTCTAGACCAAAGCGCGTCAAATGACAAACCGGAAAGCTACGCCTCTGTTTGCATCTCCTGAGGATGCTGCTCTGTCTCCTCCAATGTGAAAAAGGAAGAGGAGGGGAATAAAAGCCTCAGCTGGAAGAGAGTTGTGGGAGGGCCATCCGGAAGTCCTGCACGTCATGGCCACTTGAGCAGGTGCAGCAGAAAGCAGTTTGGGAGTCTCCCTGCCCAATAAGGAATGATTTTCCAGGGAAGCCCGGGTGGGGGGAGAGGCCTGGGAGGGGGCCAGGGTGGGACGTGGGGAAGGGTTGGGGAAGGGGGGCTGTGTGTGGGAAGCCTGGTGCCCTCCCCGGGTCAGCAGCATCTGGAGCTGTTTCTCTAGCAGACAGTAAAGAACTCGATTACATCCAGTTAACTGTGCTCTAAACTGATTATGCATGTGCTGGGCTAATGGATTACATTAGCAAGAGGAAAAATAACATGCAATCAATCTCCATTTACTACAGGCCACACCAGGGCCTAGATAAAAACTGACTCTCAGACCACTTCCAATCCCCACCCCAAATCCGTGGGCTCACGAAACCCTGTGAGGAGGATCCCCCTCGGTGGTCAAGTCTGTCTTAGTCACATGATGGGTGGAAAGGCTGGGTGCCGGCAGTGGAATGACGAGGCTGCCGCTGGGTCATCCAGGGGTGGGTGGGAGAGCTCCCCACACCCTGGCACAGCCCCAGCAGGCCAGGGGACAGTCATCAGCCAAGGACTGATGAGATCAAACTAATGACCTTTGGCTCCTGACCCGGGGAATTCTGCCCTGACTGTGGGAAGCTGGTTGCCCCCGGGCCGGGCCGGCCCATCACACTGTTTGGAACCCTCTCCTTTAGGCAGGTTTCCTGTTCCATCCTACATCCTAACACTTAGGTCCCTTCCACCTGCACTGGCCTTTTTTGAGCAGGAATTTCCTCCATCTTAAAAAAAAACAAAAGATGAGAAAATTTAGGCCAGGGAGGATGAACTTCTAAAGCTAGTCCAACAAAACACAAAGGGAGCCACGCACACTTCCCTTCCATCCACCCTGGAGACGGCCTCAGTCTGACGCCCCAGGTGTGGTCCGTGGACGTAGCTTGGGGGACCAAATGGGGAAATTCTCAGCCAACCCTCCAGGTTCCAGGCAGCTTGGAAGCAAAGCCAAGGGCCTGGTACTCTTACCAGAAGATCAGCGTGGAGAGTTCATCACCACTGTTTATCATCTAAAGGGCAATTTTTCCGGTGCATGGATGAGGCCAGCTTCATGCCACCTCTAAATGACCTTCATCAAAGGTGCACACAACCCCTGTGGCCACACCGAGTCCTCTGAATTAATTTTGCTCAGTCAGGTCCCTTAAAGACTCATTTTCCACTGGTTTTTCCATCGGGTTTTCTTGACCACATCGGCACCACCATGTGGCCAGTTAAGACCTCCAATTTAAAGTAACCACAGGGGACCTTTTCTTTCCACGTGGCACAAAACCAAGCTACCCGGTGAAACTCGTGCCCACCTAGGACAGCGGGTGGGCTGCTTGCTGTCCAGACCTTCCCCACAGCATCACCCCAGCCCACCTATGCTGGAGTCAGCAGTCGATTCCAGAACACTCCATTCCCACTATCTCATTCCTGCTTCCTCCTATCCCTAAAATGGTGTCTCATCCACGTTACACAGGCCTCTAACCACGCTGAGAATGATCAAGTGTAAGCTGGATTCTGGTGAGCCGTCTCTGCGGAGACTGATATGGGGAGAGGATAAGAAGCCTTCCTTACTGGGAGTCTCCACTTAAAATCACAAGTAAAGAGGAGAATGAACTGGGCTCAGGGTCAGCAGAAACTCAGCACCCACTGGCCCAAAGGCCTGGGATATGGTGTGAGAGCAAAGAGGAGAGTCTGGTCATAAAAGGAACGAAAATGGAATGAGAAAGTAAGGGCGTGGAAGGAGGGTGGGCGGATTTATGGCGATTTGTACCTGATTGTTCATACTAAAGCCATTATGGGATGATTAGAGAAAAAGGTGAGGCTTTAAGTCCAGTGAAAATCAATAGAAACGTCTGGAGCAATTCTGCCGTGCAAGTGAAAGGACTATTTACAGTATCTGAGCACCTCCTCCTCGTTACTGTCTACAGATTGAGAGAAAGATGCGGGGTGGGGGGCTGGAGAGGAAGGAAGGGGAGAGGGGACAGAGGCAGAGGAGGGAGTGGGAGAAGCTCAGAGAAAAGGAGGAAAATACAAGCATGAGGAGGAGAAAGGGGGCACACAACATGGAAAACGAAGAGGGAAAGAACAAAGGAGCCCCTCAGCTGACCCCATTCCCCTCCTGGCATGTACTGCCTTCTGGCCAGTTTATTCATTGTCTTTATCACTCATCTCCCCCCAAAAGAGTGGAAGCTCTATAAGGGCAGGGGTTTTGTCTATTTTGTGCATGGATGTATGCATGCGCCGGGCATACAGAAGATGCTCAGTGCATGTCTGTTAAATGAATGAATGAACCAATCAATGTGGAAATGAATGAAGCACCCAACAGCATCCAGGACAGAAGAGACTTTTTTTTAAAGAAGGGACTAACGAGATGGAAAAGGAAAAAAAAGAAAGCATGCAGAAGTAAATAAGGGCCATACAGGAGACAAAGGTAAACACCAGTGGGACTGGCAACTGTGAGCAAGGAAAAAAAGTCAACTGTGAAGATACTGGAGGGACAGGGAACATTGGGACAGTACCAGGCTGCTCCAAATGGGGCACCCCACAAAGAGGACCTTCAGTCACCAGCTGAAGCCTGCCGCCACATTGCAGCTTCACGAGGAAGCTGATGCTCGCTCGCCTTCCAACACCCGGGTAGCATCAGGCCACCAACCCGGCCATGCCACGGACTCTGCCCTCCCCAGCCCCTCCATCTTCCAGGCTGCAATCCACGCCTTACAGAGACAGCCTGGGTCTTACCTTGTACAGCTTCAGGCTGGCCTCGTGCCTGGCATTGACCGTGTGCAGCCGCAGCTTCTCCAAGCTGTTGGTGTAGTAGTCACAGGCATTGCACTTGAGGTGGACGGGGTTGCCGATGGCCACACACTTGAGCCGCCACTCGTTGGCTTTGCCGCCCTCCTTGATGTGGGCCACCAGCTGATACTTCTGCACATGCTTGTCCGTCTTGCAGTGCAGTTGGAAGTTGGCCTTGAGCTGGGTGTTGTAGCGGCAGAGCTTGCACTGGTACGAGTCCCCCATCACGGCCTTCCACTCCTCCTCAGGGAGGCTGCGCTCCACGTTCATGTGCAGCCCCAGCATGTCCAGGTTGTCCGTGGTGAACTTGTTGCAGACGGCGCACTGGAAAAGCTTTAGCGATGGGTCGTTGGTCTGGATGAAGCTCTCGCCCAGGTTCATCAGCTCCTCGGACACCAGCTGCCCGCCCCCGAGCCGCATGTCTAGGGGGACGTCACTGCCCACTGCAGGGAAGGAGAGGGGAGAGAATCAGGCCAGGCTCATGGCTGCAGAGGGGACCGAGGCACCACCCTGCCCTCCCCCACCCTCCACCCAGGTTCAAGGAGAAAAAAAGATCACATTTCATGTATTGCAAGGTGCTACTACCTAGAAACAACACCAAAAAAATATGAACTTGATGTGTTTGGATCTTTCCTATGAACACTCTGAAATTTGTGGAAGGCTTTTTTTTTATTCTTTTGGAAAAGAACACCTAAAGAGAAGTAGGAACCACTATGTCTTGAATATTTCAATGCAAGCCCTCACTCAGGTCCAAAGACAGAAGTCATAACCATCATTCACTGGGCATAATGGAACCTGAAACTCTGGACCCCCCAAAATTGGGAAATGAGGTACAGTTGCAATCTAAGATATTAAGCCTTTGTGGTCAATCAGAATTGGGCCCAGAATATACCTGAAGTGGCACTGCCCAACAGAACTTTCTGTGATAACAGAAACATTTCACATCCGTACTGTCCGACGTGGTAGTCACAAGCCACATGTGGCTACTGAACATTTGAAATATGGCTAAGGAGCAACTGAAGAACTGAATTTCAATGTACTTTTAATTCATTTAAATTTAGATAGTCACATGTGGCTAGCTGACTATGTTACTGAACACCATGCACAGGACTAAATCTGAGATTTTAGAAATGATCTCCGTATTCCCTGTCACATCCCATCAGTCAATGTCCTACCTGCCTGTCAGTGGCACGAGCAACTCCCACATTTCCCCAAGCCTGCAATCTTTTCCCTTTTCTGAGTCCCGCAGTATGTGAAACGTAGGTCTACTATGGGACGTATCACCTTCTCCCTTGTCATTAAGTCAGCCACCTACAGAGCTACATGCTGGCCACTGTCCCCATCAGGGTGCTGCCTCTTTAGGACAGGGGTCCAGGCTTCTCTTCACTGAACCCTTAGAGAGTGCCTGGCCCCCATACAGATGCTCAAATGTCTGCTGTAAAAAGGAGCTGACATGTTACAGGTCCAGGAAGTGGGTAGAGATGGGCAATAAAATGCAAAGGTCAGCTCGTGGTCCCCCCCACCAAAAAACAGTCTGAGAAAGCTCTGCTCTTCCCTCTCCAGCCCTGTTCGATCTCAGTCCATCACTGCCCCGCATCACCCAGAGACAGCTCTCATTCACCAGCAGCAAATTAATACTGCAAGCCCTTATTTATATCACAAGAAAGGCTTGGAAAGAGCAGCCTTCCCTCCATTACCTAGAAGCGCACAGCCAAGGAGAACGCTGAGCACTGGCTTCTATTTTTTGCCTCTCTGAGCACATGCACGTTTGACCTATTATGTCTGCCCTTGCCCCACCCCAACTGATTATTTAAACTTGACCTTTTATGGGTGGTTGGCTGAGGTTATTTTTTTTAAATGACTGATTAGAATCCAAGTTAGTGGCTAATCAAAGAAAAGAAGTTATATATTTTTAAAAAATGATTTTCCTATTTACATTACATGCAGCACCTCGAGTGGTAAGATTGGTACAGGCTCTATTGAACAGACCAGCTGTATCTGAAGTCTGTGGACAGCCCAGCAAGCCACAGACACCTTCTGTATGTGCGTTGCAGAAGGCTCAGGAAGCTTTCTGCTTCTCGTCTCTTGCCATCTCCCCTAGTGAGGGGTGTTACAGGACGAGAGAGAAAACAAGGTGTGGGAAAGGAGTGTAAAAGCTCCAACCCTTAATGGGGACCAAGGCCAAGCAGCATCCATGAAATACACTCAGTGTTTAGTCAAAGTGGAAACTGCCTGGAGGGTAAGACAAGGAGCAAACATGTCTTTGTTTCTGATACCGACCACCTGAGGGATTCAATCTTCTACACTTTTAAAATGTAACCTCAGCACATCAAGATCACTCTAAAGAGAAATTCAGCTGTCACTTGTTGGATGTCTTTGTGAAAATGGGAAGTCCTCAGAATATGCAGAGTCCCTGTTACCATTCCAAGCTCTTAAAATGAAAATGCAAATCAAAAACAGAAGCAGTGAAATGAGGGTGAACCAAAACTCCCTGCAATAACTATATGCCCTGGAGAAACAAGCACAGGGTTCAGAACACTACACATGTATAGCACAGGAAGGAACTCACTCAGCGCCCAAGAAGTAGAGAAGCCTCACCCAGCTGACAGGTAGTTAGGAGGAGAGCCCCTGTGAGTGAGGACCTAGCAGTACTTACTTTTAAGCCAGGCTGGATAGCTGGTCTTGGAAAGGAGTGGGCCCCTATCTCCCCATACACACCAAACTTAAACCTGCAAATGACATCCTTATGCATGCGCCTGCCTATCAGCACACCATCCTAAAGGTACATGGATTAAAAGACACCTAGACACAACGGCAGAAGCAGAGCATCTGTCAAGCCTCATGCAGGCGTCCCTCTGGCTGGCTGGCTACTCAGGAAACACAGATGCCCTTTGAGCTACCTGCTTCTCAGCACTGCGCTAAGCTTCAGTGTCTAAGGGGATGTTTGGAAGGATATTCAGATGGCCTCACATCTAATATCTCATCTACAAATGGGAGCAAATCCGACTAGACCAAACCACGGGTGCTGACCCCCTCCTTAAAGGCCTCCAGTAAGAAAGCAGTTCCAGAATCGGGATCTGTGTGATGTCACAAAACAGAAGGTTCTGTCAAAGGAAGGATGAGAACAGTAACTTTGTAGGCAGGAATGTATTTCATAAAAACTTTTTCCCCCATGCAGAGCCCAGTAACATCTAATAAACGCCTCCAGCCTTCTCACAAATTGCCTAAAGAAAATTCAGTAGAATTGCAGATAGAACTGAAAGCTATGGCCCTTCTCATCTGCATACTTCGGCTTCTACTAAGTCACACACTTCAGCTGGCAGCCTCCCTCTGGACATGTCCTATGGCACCCACACCCACCCGGGCTTCTGCTCTACCTCAAAACTCTCACGGTCTGAGGCAGGCACAAGTTTTCAGAGACGTCTCTCACCCAACAAGGGGTGACACTGAAAATTCCAGGGCCCTTCTTGGCTGACCCAGATCAGGTCTGTAAAGGCAGGACTCTATTTTCTTTATGAAATAAAGTGTAGATCTTCCATGTACGTCTACAACACTGGGATCCATTCTTCTATCCCTTGCATCTGCCATATGCCATAATACATGATGCCCCGCACACTCACAGAACACTTGTTCTGTAAAACAACATATTTCTCTACCTCTCAATTCAAGCCTCAGTCAGAATTATTGGTTTTCAAGGTCATTAAAAAGACCTCACTTAGATGCATTATGAACCCATCCATTTTCTGCGACTTCATTGCACCTACATTATACTTGATTTACTCCAACATCTGCCTCCCCAAGATTTTAAATCTCCAGACAAGAAAACCCCAATTCCCATAGGCCTTAAAAAAAAAAAGGAATCTCAGAATACTAATGCTATCCCTTGGCATGTACCCCCTGTGTACTCAGGACACATAAGATGATTGATCCTTATGTATCCGTGATTAACCAATTGGTAAAACATCTTCAAATCATTTGTAAGTGAAGGATCAACAGGTCAATGTTCCAAAACAGAAAACAAGATTAAAGTACCAAGGATTCAAATTTAAATGCATAGCCGGAAATACAAATTAAATGCTATGAAATATAACTAAGCAACAACAATTAGCATAGAAACACAAAGATGTGCCACCTGGTGAGGTGTGGCCCACTGACGTTCGCCAAAGCCATGCCCAAATGAAGGTACTTGCTCACAATTTATTGCCTAGAATAATGACTTACTCCCATGTCAGTAAGATGACATTGCTTAATTCAGGCCATCACTGCTGGTCCCAAGAGGTCAGTGGGGTCAGCAGAAGGAGACTAGCAGCTCCTGTCCGAGGCACAGGTGGGCAGGAGTGGCCCAATGATCACACTGGTCCTCACAAAACTCCTGTACCTTTTCCTGCTACAGAACCTCTCCCCACAAAATGGCCATGGTGTTTTTTTTATACAAAGATCCTGATTTTTGGCATCCAAATCCTACCCTCTTGATCCCCTTCTAGTTCCATATGAAACCAATCAGTAAGATTTGGTATCTGGACACAGCCACCCCACCTTCCCCAACACGGGTCATTTTTTCGTGGCAACAAATGCTGCATGAACTAGGACCTAACTGATATTAAAGCTTGGCTTTCTTTGATATACAATTTTAGAACTTACCCATTTTTCATCCATCACTCCACTCCTTGCGCTGCCCCAAGGCAATTTAATTCCCAACTATACTAATCACCGACAACTCATGCACGGTAAGAAAAAGGACGTGTCTCTTTCATCAGGACCTGTGAATCCACTGCAGAACTTGGAGAAACGTACCTGGGTACCTCCCCACTCAGCCCAGAACCAGCCTTTGGTTATCTGAATAAGGTACACTACACTGTTTTGAGTTCCTCTTATTGAGATGATCGCTCCTGTTTCAAACCAGCTACCGTTTCCTGTAGGTTTGATACATATTTAATGGAACCCAAAAGTTGCGGATAATGGCGATGATTTTTCAAACTGAGAAAGGGAGGGAGAAAGAGAGAGCAGGAATAGACAGGAAAGTTGACCAGAAGCCAAAACCCAGAGGAAACACTTAAAATTTTAATCTTGGCCTGTGGAGCCGGAGTGTAATCCTGTCTCTGTTGGATGGATACCATCTTCCATATGCACACACAGAGTTCAAGGTTCTTGAGGGAAACGTTTGATTGTCAGACACTCAAGTTAACACAAAATAACTGTCAAGAAAATAAAAATCAACGGTATCCAGTGGACTCAAAGGCATTGCCTGAATCAGTGGGACCTCAGCCCATTTCCCCAGTGGAACTCTCGTCACCAGAACACACAAACACGGAGTCAGCCTCACCTAGAGCGGGCGTCATGGCGGCCACGGGCCCAGCAGGGTCCAGCTGGAATCCGCTCATCATGAACTGGGCATCTGAGGCGGCACTGTCCACCTTCAGGCTGGGCAGGCTCATGTTCTGGGCCAGGTAGTACTGGTAGAGCTCAGCCTCGGCAGGCGAGGGCAGGCTGCCGAGGCCCAGGTGGCGGCTGTGCTGGATCTGGGTCACGTTCTGTTGCAGCAGCATCATGTTGTGCATGTGCTTCTCGCTGGTCATGTGGATGCGGAGGTTCCGGGCCACATTGGTCTCATAATCACACACTTCGCACCGCCAGGTGGGCTTGGTTTTTGGTTTGGTGGGCGAGGGGGCCCCGCAGGAGCTACCGATGTTGGCGGCTGCTGCGGCGGCTGCGGCTGCCGCGGCCGCCGCCCCAGCCGTGTGGCTGAAGACCTGCTCCCCGCCCCCATTTTGCAGGTTCTGCATGTTGTTGAGATGCTTGTCGGACTGCATATGAATACTGAGGTTGCCTTTGGTAGTTGTGGAGTAGTTACACACCTCACAGCGGAAAGGTTTGTAACCACATGTGTAGCTCTCGCCTCGTGCCAACCGAGGGTGGGGCTGCCCGCTTTTGCAGTAGACACAGGAGCCCCCTGGCTCCGGGTGCTTCTCCTTCATGTGCGCCTCCAGTGTCTGCTGGTACTTATAGTGCCAGTTGCACTTGGGGCACTTGAGTGTCTTACACGAGTTACGAGAATGCATCATGGTCATGTGGCCGCCCAGCGAGCGGGAGGAGCCCAGGACCGTGTCGCATTTGGGGCACTCCACGCCGCTCCCCGAGGGGCACTCCCCAACCCCAAGCTCGCAGAGGGAGCCAGCATGCTGGTGATGGGGGACGAAGCCCCCATCGTCACCCTCTGTGCTTTCATTTGGTTCTGGTGCTGTGGCATTGTCTCTATTGGCACTTTCGTCAGCAAAGTCCAGCCTCCTGCCGCCCTCTGCCACATTGGCCCTGACGCCCTCACTGTTAAAGCTTAAACGATTCCTCCTGTTCGCACCATCAAAGACAACAAAGGAAGAAGCAGAATTAGAGCTAGTAGAAGCTGCGCCCCTCGACAGGGTCTGGAGCACATTAGGCATTAAGGGGGAGTTAGAAATGCTTTGGTTTGAGAGAGCTAGGTCCTTCTCGCTGCTGCTGCCCGCCACGGCCCCAGGCGCCTCGGGGGGCCTGTCCTCCAGGTCGTCGTCCAGCTCGCTTGGAAAGAGTCCTTTGCACCCCTCGTCGTCCTCCTCCTCGTCCTCCTCCTCCTCGTCCTCCTCCTCCTCCACCTCCTCCTCCTCCTCCTCCTCCTCCTCCACCTCCTCCTCGGCTGGCTCTGCTTTCTCAGAGAAGCAATCCGGATCGCCTGCTTCTGGCTTCTCTCCTGCTGCTGCCCCCGAGTCCTTGCCCTCCGAGGATTTGGTAGGACTGGACGCCAGAGGCCCCAGGGGGACTGAGGTAATGGGGGTCTTCAGGACCGAGCTGGTGAGCCCGCCAAGGTTCAAGAGGGTACTGGGGGTCAAGATACTAGCCTGAGGCTGCTCGGGGCTGGCGGCAGAGCCGGCGGGGAGAGCCTCCTCCCCTTCCATTCGAATGCCACTGAATTTACCATAAAAACTGTGTCCGGGGCCTATGAGGTTAGCTGCGGAAACTAAAGGGTGCTGAAAGTTTTTGTTTTTTGGTTCCAGAAAACTTACAAGGGGTTCCTTGTCTTTGCCAATCCCTTGGATGATAGCGGAGATGTTCTTATTGCTAAGAATTTTCCGCTCGTCTTCGCTCAGGGTCATTCGATGGTCGTGCACCGCGTGGGTCACAAACGAACGGACGTACCCGAAGGAGAGTTTGCACAAGAAACACATCAGGATGGGCTTCCTCTTGCCGTAGAGCACAAAGCCATCGAATTTGGACAGGTCCACATTGTTGGGAACATCTTTGGATACGCAGGAGCTTTTGGCAGAGCCGTCGCTGTTCAGGTAATCCTTGTTGCTTTTGTGTCGCACGTCAAAAACGCGGAAGCTGTGCAGGACAGGGCTGAGCCCCGCCAGGGCTGAGGTATTCGGGAAAGCCTGGTCTGGGCCCTCAAACCATTTCCCGAAGGATGAGGCTATGTGGAAAGTGTTGATGATCTGTGGGTAGACTGGTGCAGCACAAGAAGGGTCCCCTTGCTTGCCCCCTGCACCGGGGAGAGAGTTCAGAAAGAGCGGAGGGAGAGGCCCGCTGCCGCTGGCACAGGCGGCCCCGCTCTGGGTCAGCTGGCTCAGGCTCTCGACGATGTACGCCGAGCCGTCGGGCTGGTAGACGATCTCCCCAGCCAGGTTCTCCACATCACTCTCCTCGTCCCCCTCCTCGCTGCTGTCGCTCCCACTCTCCTGGCGCAGGGGCAGCGGGGGGCGCGCGCTGGGGCAGTGGTGCTCCATGTAGGTCTGCAGGCTGGCGAAGGAGGCCGAGCACTCGTTGCAGCTGACCTCCTTGCCGGTGGGCTCGGCAGCAGGGCCGGCCGGGGCAGCGCTCTCCACGAGGCGTTCATTGAAGGGGGCCCTCAGGCTGTCCAGGGGCCCGTGGTTCTCGCTCGAGGACTGCTCCATGCTACTGGGTTTGTCGGGGAGGTGGGTGCTGTTGAGTTCAGTCCATTGCTGGTGCTGAGGGATACTGCACCCATTGTCCTTCCCCGAGACGACAGGCGAGTCACAGCCTTCCATGGTAAGGCCTGCGTGGAGCTGTCATTGCACCCAGTACGGATCGGACCTGAAGGGTGGAGGCAAGGGGGAGAGGAGGGAGAGAGGGGGAAGAGAGAGAGAAAGGAAAGAGGTTAGGAGGGCCGAGGCTAAGGTCCCGCACAGAGCACTCAACAGGCTTCTGTCCACACCCACAACAGAGACCGCGAGGCAGCAGGGACCCCAGCGATCGCCCCGTGCCATCCAACGTGCAAAGGGCGGCAGCATCCCTGGGCCGCATGGCCAGAAAAGGGACGTGGAGAGGGGACACCAGGAGAATCCCTCTTTGTCTTCAGATTGTCGGCCACTCCACCCCTGGAGACAAATGCGAATTTCCATTCTTTGCAAGCACAGCATTAGAGTCAGACCAGGCCACAAGCCACAGCAGAGGAGGACAGTACCATCTCACCAGCCCCACAAAGGACACAGAATGGCAGCCCTGCTGCACACAGACAGCCAACACAAAGTCACCCTTGACTGCCTGCATTTTCTGTGAGCCCAGGGAACACTGGGGAGGGAAGGACGAGAAGAGCAGAATTTTGCACCCTCGGAAAAAGGATGGTACACCTGTGTGAACTGATTCAGAGGTGAAGTTCCTGCAGTTGCTTTTACTGATCACATTTCTAGTTTCAGAAGTTCAAAGAAAGGAGTCTGAGGGTTGCACAGCTCAGAGGGCAAGTGTGCAGGCATGGACACACTCTGCAAAGCCCCCAGGAGGGCCCACGGCTGCAGTCACCCCCTCCACATCACTGTATTTTACAAACTAAACACAGACCCAATGCCCCCGAGACACTGTGAAACAGAGAAGACATGTCTCTGAATTCCCATCTTCGCCCATCGCCCCCAACCCATAGAACACACTTGTTTGTGTCTCAGCTGGCTTCACACTAAAAGTATGTAGGTGCAAAACACGAGCTTGCTGTTTCTAGGAAGAACTGGCCAGACTCTCAACTGGCTGACGCCCCCTCCAGCAATGTCGATGGGGCTCTGTTGCTGTGACCAAGTCAGATCACCACTGGCTTGGCGGTTTTGCTGTCAAGGATCTTAGTGGCAAGCAGAGATGGCAGCTGGGCTCGGCCAGCCCCCATTCCACACCTGCCTCTTAGTTATTAGTTGCTATCCAAGCAGCTGTCTGTCAGCCCTGGGGCTTTTCCGTTTCCGACTCCAAAGTGCCACTGAGCTGAATTTGCCCTCTGAGACTTAGCATCTCCGGGGAAGTAGGCAGAGAATCACCCGCCGCTGCTCTGCTCCTGTGGCAACATCATGGGGCATTTTGGCGTCCAGGCCCTGCTCCTACAGGCAACTCCGCCTCGCACAGCCCTGATGGGTCCAGGGCTCCTGACCCCACGCCTCCTTCCTGTAGAACGCTTGGCTGCTCTTCACCCAACGTCTCATTCAGACACAGTGAAGGAAGGTTCTGGCTGGCTTTGGTCTCCCTCCTCCCCCACCCAGTCCCCATCTTCCCATTCTTTTCTCATTTCTTGATTCCTGACTGCACAGCGAGCCAAGAGCTCCACCTCGGGAAAAGACGGGGAAGGCACGTTTACCAGAAGTCTCAGGAGAGAAATAACCTTTTGGAAGAATGTGTCAAGTTTTGTTTCACACACAGACACACACACCCCTCTCCCAGTGTATAGCCCCAAACTCCATTATAACAAAGTTATGTGTGCCTTAGAAAAGACATACTGAGTCTAAACAAAGACGACTACACTAAATCAAACCATGTGGCAAATGGGGTCTGCCTTACAAGGCTTATCTGGGATGCAGGTGAGAATCGAGGGCAGCTCTTCTGAAGGACACGCCTGATTGGCTGGACGGCATCTGATTGACAGCTGGGGCCAAAAAGGTTGGCAGGACTAAAGGGGCGGGAGGGTTAACAGTCCGATTGTAAAATCAATGTCATAAATGCTAGGTAAGTTACAGGAACATGCGGGAAGGGGAGGCCACGATTGATAAAGGAGAACAGCTTTGATGCTTCACCAGGGACTTGTGTATCGACGGCAAAGCCAATCTCCTCTCCAGTCTGGGCTGGGCCAGAGAAACCTGCAAACATTTCCCAATTAATCGGTAGGCTTTTCTTGCTCTGCTCTCCTCTTCTTCTTCCCTCATTCTCCACAAATCATCCAGCTAAGAGGTTGGGACTTTTAAAAACTTGCTTAACTTTGTTTTTGATTCCCAAGCATAAGGTGTCAAGAAATGACACTGTGGCCCCCTCTGGAAGACAGATGACCCCCTGTAGGGGCGACACTAGCCCCATGGGAGGCTGTCATTCACAAGAAGTGACGGCCCTTCAAGATGCCAGTGGGAAAGAAAGAGCCCGCTTTAGGATCTAAGCTGCCCGCTCTAGGCTTCCTTTCCATGCATGCTGGCCTCAACAAGCAGAACCTTTTGCCATCTTGCTAAGCCAAGTATGGTTCAGAAAAAGGTAGCATCGTCTTCATCAGGGAGCCACTGAACAATGCAGACTCTCAGACCCCATCCTGATCAAAATCCCCATTTTAACATGATCCCCAGGGGACGTGAATTAAAGCTTGAGATGCCCTCTGCTTCAGAACATCTTCACAGGCTGCCAGCTCTTCCGTACTTGGGGCCTGTACCGCTAGATACCCAGACAAGGTCAGTCTTGGGCTCCCGACAGGTCTCTGGGAGGCACAGGGATCGGGGAAGACAAGAAGGGGCCAGAGCACAGAGACGAAGAAATCTCTGAACCTTGGCCCATCCTTCAGCTCAAGGACCTCGGCAGGTGTCCACCTCTCTCCCACGGCCGGCTGGCTGCCCCTCTCGCTCTGTTTATCAGCCAGTCAATAAGAAAAAGGTAGTTCTTACTTAAGGAGGCAGAAGTCAACTTGGCAGTTCGATCAGCACTCTGTCTGTAAACATGGTTTCCCGTAAAATCAATGATCTTCAGTCACAGAGGGCAGCCTGGGAACCCAGCGCATCCCCACACTCTCACATGCAGCCCCGCCAGCAGCCTCTGCTCAGAGCCCCCCACCCCGTCTCTACACCCCTTCCTGTCCTTCAGGCCTGCCAGGGTCGGCTCACACATCACAAACCCTCAAGCCTTCTGCAGCCTGCTTCTCTTCTGCTGATGAGACCCCAAAATTCCCCTTCAAACACAGATGTGTTTTACTCATGACCCCCAATATTGTACAAGTAAGTTTTATTTTACATGTGGTTTTAAGAATTCAGTTAGATTTCAACAGAGCACCTCTCTCTAGCAAGCTGGTGGAGGGGAAGATGGAGGAGCGATCTACTTCTCTCCTGTTGTTTTTTTCTCTCTGCTTGGTGCTTAAACCTGCCACTTGAGAACTAATCTTGTAAAGAAAAGTCCCCATGTCTTCATCAAGCACCCCCCACCCTCGCTTTTCTCACAAGTTATGGTTTCCTTGGAACCTACCTGTAATAGACCCCTGCATCTTTGAAAATAGCAACGTTTATTTTTCAAAGATGATTTAAAATGATAAAACCCCACCATGTTACCCTAGGGCCCCCATTAACAACACTGTCCATTTCCCTCTTTCAGCTGAGAAGATGTGATAGGATGGCTTTATCACATTCCTTTAAGGAGACAGGATGGGGTACTATGCAACAGTTACAGGGAAGCTGGGGGTGCGGGGTGGTGCAGTCATGGGAGGGAGGGGAGCTCCTGCTGTTGCTCTGGCTCCCAGAGAATTAAACATGAACAGTTGTACTGTGTAATTTTAAATTGTTAATTAGCACAGGGTTAATTAGGCAGGCCTTTCACAAGAGGCTGTTTGGCAGAAAACCAAGAAAGGAAACAAAGGGGAAGAAAAGAAAAACAAAGAGAGAATCCAGGCTGCGAGAAACTGTTGCCCCTGTGAATAGCCCACTCGGCATCACCAGAGAGGAGCAAACCAGAGGCCAAGCCTTGCGGTTTCTCCGGGGCGCTCCTGGCTCTGCTGGAGGGGGAGTCAGGGCGCACCACCTTCCTGAAGGCCATTTGTCAGTAGGCATCAAAAGCCTCAAAAATGCAGATGCCCTTTGACTCCACAATTCCCCAATTCTAGGTAACGGCCCACCATATGCTGAGGGATGTAAGATTACTACAGCATTTCTAACAGGATAAAAAAAGGGGGGGAAATAATCTGGCAAAACGAGGGACTCTCTAAATAAATTACAGTGCCTAGAGTTCCTAGGGTGTTATAAAACATCATTTTTGAAAAGAAACTATTTATAGGCATGGGAAAACGATCACACAGGATGTTAACTGAATGAAGCGTCCATAGGTTGGCAGATGGAAATACATGAGATTTATATCAAAATGTTTACAATGGGAATGGCTAGGGGGTGAGATTATAGGTGACTTCATTTCCTCATTTGTGCCTTTATTTCCCAAAGCTTGTTAAAATTAAAACCATCATAAGGGTAGACATAACTTCTTTAATTGGGCATCACCCTCAAGGCCTGTGGGGCAGAGCTCCACCATGATCCTCATAACCACTCTGTGAGATGGGTGCTACTTTTTACCCTCATTCTAAAGATGGGAGAACTGAGGTGGCCCACTTACACAGCCCAAGTGACAAAACCACAGTCTGGATGTGGAGTCTGTTTTCAGCCACTGTACAATGTTTTTCTTTAACACCTATTTCTTAACGAGAACTCCAGAAAGCCCCTACATCCAACAATCACACTCAATCTTTAGGTACTTAGAGACTGCGCTAATGTCGCGGACTCCCAGGATTGCTATGTAAAAGCACACTGCCAATACAAAGCACGCCCTTCGTAGCTTGGGAGTGGTTGGGGGAAGACAGTTCACATGGCCTCCTTCACTGTGATATCTTCACACAGGAGACATCTTCACACAGGAGACAGCGGGTAACGGGAGCAGGAGAAAGTGCTGCAAAGAACTATACGGTAAGCCTATTATCCTGACTTACTTTAAAAATAAAAATTCCAGATTCCAGAGACAATAAAATCAAGAAATGTATTCATTCACTCAATATTTACTGTGTACCTACTATGTATCAGATGCTAGAGAACCAATGACAAGCAGATTTCAGCTTACATCCC